ACAAACATTAAATTGGCAATATTGTTCTCAACTGTGTTAGTGGTTAATTTATCGGCGTTAGTTTGCCGTTTAATTAGTTCGGTTTCAATTAGGGATAGTTAATAAATCTACAATTGACTGCTTAATAATGATTTACAAGTTCAGTTTTATTTAATTATAGTAATTATTATTTTAATATAACCACTTTATCATCTTCTTAAGTGGTGATGGCGCCCTAGATGGTAAATTGCTCTGACTTAGCGAAACAAAAGCCTATTCTTGCCATGAAGTGCTTAGATTGTATTCGGATGGAAAGACAGACGTCAGCAAATAAGTCCACTTCTTTGCTATACGAGCGCACTATATTGAAATTTCTAGAAAACTAACCAAAATTACAAAGAAGTTTTTAATAGTTTAGCATCCTTCACTTTGTTACTTTACACAAAAGCTCTCTGTGTAAAAATCAGAGTTCTATGTCCAAGAGATTTAAAAGAGTTATAGAGTAGCTACTGATGAATTCTATTATTAAAATATTCCTTCAATCTTTGTCTCCTTCCAACAATAATTCAAGCTAATGACTCGCTCTGAGAAAGACTTAATTAATGAGCAATTTTCACTGTCATTAAAAATTAACAAAGGATACTTCTGCTGAATAACCTTACGTCGCGAGGGATAAACTTCGTTTTAAATGACATTACTGTGACATTGCTGTCTGATATATTATTAATGTTAGGTGTTAAATTTTCAATTTATGTGAGTGACTTTTATCTTTTGAGTTAACGATTATTTTTAATGATTTTCCATGATTATTGATTGACCGTCGACTTAGTTAAAATTAGTATTTAAGTGTTTTTTTTTTATTTATTTTACGTAAGAAGATGTAGTGACAAAAATTGAGAAAGGTATGCTGAGATGGTTTGGCCATGTCGAGAGAATGAATGAAGAACGATTGACGAAAAAAGTGTATAAGGCGAGTGTGAATGAAAGTGTTGGAAGGGGTAGACCTAGGTGGACATTTCTAGACCAAATCAGGGACGTCTTGAAAAAAGGCCAGGTCAAGAGTACCCTAAACCGTAGAGCATGTATGAAGGGAATAATGAAAGTGGACGAAGCAAAACAAGTATGTAAGATTCGTAGCAAGTGGAAAGAACTGGTCTCTGCCTACCCCTACGGGAAAGAGGCGTGATTATATGTATGTATAACTTTAAACATTCAGATGTTTGTCCACGTGACATTTATGTATGTAAACTGACCCCCACTATACAGCAAAATCCTAGTGTGGAGGCAATGTTAATTAAAAAAACACATTACAATATTTCTAAAAACAAACCAATGACAATCGATTAAAGGTCTATAGGTACCAACCCGAGCGCATCGTCTCGAAATAAAAGGGTACGAAGGTTACTGTGAACGGTCGATGCGATGCGGACAAGGACGATGTTTGCTGTTACCTTGTAAAAATAACTACAAACATCCTAAAGGGATGGAATAATGTAACAACTTCTGTCTTTCTGTCTGTGACATTCAGTGGCGCTGTTACAGAATCCACTATCCCTTAACATGCCCTGGGCGTTGTAAGAGGCGACAGAGGAAACGAATTAGGAGATGGGCAGCAGCATCTCCCTAATGACGACTAAAATAAAATAAAATTGCCAACCCGCTTGCCAAGCATGGCAACTAAGACAAACGTCCCATCTATGAGGTAATTTATGGGGAGGCCTATGTTCAGTAGTGGACAATAATAGGCTGTACCGGTAATGGGTGTCGTAAGAGGCGACAGAGGGAAAATAAAATAGGATTTATGTATCTCATTACAATTAGTGTAGGCAATTCGTGGGGAAGGCCTATATTGAGAGATCTAAGTCCACCAATGGACTTTTGAGCGGCTGTAATGAATGGATGTTAAACGATGTAAATTCCATGGAAATAATGAATCAGAAGAAAGTGACAAAGTAAATTTGTACTGTATATGTGAGTGGAAATGACGTGACGACTTGGTAATTTGGAATTGGAATATACAGGAAGTTGATGGATGCAGGTGTCTCAGGGCTCTTCTTTGTGGGATTATTTTGGGCCTATCTTCAGCAGTGGACTTGTGAAGAACTGTTATTACGGTGATGATAATGATGTGAGTGGAAAAGTCAGTAAGGGGTGAGGCGGCAAACCTATCATTTTTCTCTAACTTTAATATGTATTTTTTTTAATTTACTGAAAACAAGAGCACCTTAATATATAGTCATAAATGGTGGTTGATGGTTCTAGGTAGCTGACATTACAATTCATCAGGTCTTTACTCCATCTAGGGGGGGGGGGGGTCGCCCAACATTGCGTTAGCCAGAACGTTGCTGCCATTCGAGAACCTTTCTTACCGATCGGTTATTGGATCTTCGAGTTTTATGATCGTTCCATTTCCACTTCAGTTCAGAAAGTTGACCCTTGTCAGTACAGTCAAAAGTCATGTTCTGCAACGGACAAGACACAGAGAAATAATTTTACAGCTTGATGTGTGCCCACTGAGCACACTAATACTATTGGAATAAATTATATTTAATAAACACACACACACAGACACACACACACACACAATGCTTACGTAGTCACTGATCATTGCTATAACTTATTCTTCTTCTTCTTCTACCTAGCGTTATCCCGGTTGCTCATCCCGCCCAGCGCGGGAGAACCCAGGGTCCGCTTATTGCTATAACTTATTATATTGTACTAATTATTATGTTATTAGGATGATCGGAAAGATGCTGCTACCTATCTCCTGCTTTAGTTTCTCTCTGACGCCTCTTACGACAATGAAATGACTAGGGGTAGTGGATTCTCTGTCGCCGCAACTACACTTTACGACTCGAACACTACATGTTATGTACATGTATGTTGTACTATAGACATAGATTGTCATATCGTCAAACTTGTGATATAATGATAAATAATAAAATTATTACAGAAAAATTTAAATAATTTTATTTATAACTTGAAATATTTCACAATAAAACAATGAAAAATACATTATTTTACTATACTTGTTACCTTATACAAATTATTTTACAATTAAAAGCAATAAAATCGTTTAATTTTTCTAGAAGTTAAAAATATATAATTTATACATTGAGTTATACGTAGTACATATACCTCAATGAATTTATACAAAAATAAATATTTTGAAATGGGATAGAAAATGGAGAAAACAAATAACTAAAGTTACATAATATCAATATGCGTTTCTTATTTTTTTAATAAAGTATTTAATTATCTATAATTTAACAAAATAAGTATTTTGCCCGCGAAGGGACGAAGTTTCTGGAATTAAAAAAGTTTTAAATGCGTTAAATCAGTAACATTACTTTTATTCGATGTGTATATTCGCATAAATTTAATAAATCGTTACCAGTACACCAGTATTTTATTAAGAAAATAGACGTAATTTATTTATAAAATATTTGAAATCTGTATTTCTTCGAAGAGATTAGCTTTAAAACGTCTCGCCTATCTATTTCCGCTTCCACGATCAAACACAGTCAACCAACCGTCGCTTCCTTTGCAGATGAGCTAAGGCCGTGATCGCATGGACGACGTGGAGATACCCGGCTGGCGCTGGCTCCGGACAGCTGATGCCAACCGTGTAGCGCCCGCCTTATCTGCAACAATGGTATTTAATTGAGATAACTGCCTAACTCTGCTTGCATTTTGAGTTCTGTAAAAAGCTTAAATATAAATAAAATTGTCAATTTATAATACCTACGAATAAAGTAAGTATAGTTTCTATAAAAATGTCGGTAACGTCCCACTGCTGGTCACAGGCTTCCTCCCATTTCTGAGAGAGATTCTGGAGCAAAAAACTACAGTTTTTTTAAACCTTCTTCCCGTGACATTTTTCGTCAAGTCCGAGTACGTGGTTAATCAGCAGTTTTAAATATCGTTTTCATTCGCCACTGCTTCTTTCTTTTCTTCTGTAAAATGTGAATAATTACTTAAAATTTTGATATATTGAAAATAGGCCATGGATATGGATCTCCTCCGTAGTATGAATCATAAGCCTCCTCCGGCAAGATTATTGGCGAACGTGTAACTCGCATCTCTGATATTTTTACATTTGATATACGACCTGGCACATATTATGTTGATTTCCCTTACGGTTCCTTCATCGAGACATAGCAAATTCTCCACTATTAAACAGTGCCAAAGTTTAAAGGTAGGCCGTGGTAGCTCAGGGTTTAAGCGCTCGCTGTAAATTTTACATAACCCAACGGGTTCGATCCCCGTCGGCACCAACGAAATGTGAAATAAAATTTTAAGTTCTAATCTAGCATGTGCTCGGCGGTGAAGGAAAACATCCTAAGGATGTAAATATTCCGAAGACATGTAAATACCGGCGTAAAATAGCAGCTTAATGGTTCTGTGTTTTGTATGGTGAGTCTGGAGAATCGGAGACCATTTTTACTGGAAATGAGGTACTCCATTTTAGACCTCCATCTACATAGGATAAATGTAGAAGTATGTCACTTACCATCAGATTGACTGTGTGCTCTTTTGTAACACTTTTGCTATAAAAAAGTTTAATAAGCCGCATTGAAGCGGCGCATTGGGCACTTCCTTGCCCTGAAACCCTATCAGATATGAATGGAGCCTGTGCCCAGGAGTGGTACGTATATAGGCTGTAACTTCCCTTTTTGCTTTAAAAGTGTTAAACGTTTAGTACTTTGATCGTCATTCGCCTACCAAGCATGAAGATCAAGACAAATACTTTCTGCAATGGCAGAGGCACATATTTAGCAGTGGGTTATACACATAATCGTTATGATGTTATATAAACATCATAAAGATTATCTGAATATTGTTGTTTATTAAGTGGTCATTATTTGTATCAACTTTAAGTGCGAAAATATACTAACATTTAATTTCATTTAACAACGCAAAATGTTTTGTACACAGGTGCATATATTCTAAAAAAAGGTAAAGAAATTTCTGCCATACCTACGACAACGGACAATAAAGTCAGCCTTGCAGTGATCATAATGAACGGCACGGAAGCCAGTCTCGACGTCAATCGCTCCACACCGATCTATACCATCGGCACGAGCTTCATCACGCAATGGTGAGTTCTCGACCTTCTTGTAAAGTTAATTATATATTAGAAATATAATATTGTTAAACAGTCGTATTTACATATATATATATATATATATATATATATATATATATGTATATGTATTTATATAAAGTAAGGGTGACAAGCGAGCACACAGTCCACCTGATGGTAAGTGTATGCTGCTGCCCATAGTGCCCATAGTGGATACTACGTCTATCCTCGATTAAGAATCAAAATGTAGATGCATTGTCACCCCTTAGGACTAAGGTAAGTAAAAAGTATTTCCGTTTCTATACAATCATCATACGAAACATAGCAGCATTAAGCTGCTATTTGACGTTGGTATGACCTGACGTGAGAGTGTGGTGCTGCCTCGGGTCAAGCAAACCCCTATGTGCTGCAGACATAAAATAGCAGCAGCATCGCTCTACCACGTGTTATATAATACAAATATGTTTTTATATATGTAAATATTATATATGAATATGTATATATATTTAATTACAATATTACATCTTAATATATAAAATTCTCGTGTCGCGGTGTTTGTTACCAAACTCCTCCGAAACGGCTGAACTGATTTCTATTTTTCAAACTCCTAAATGATAAGTGACCCATCCCTAAATAGTTTTTTAAATTTTTTTGACAATTTTTTTATTTTTATTTTATTATGATTTAGCATTCAAATTTTCACCCTTCTACGATCAACCCTGTTTTTTAATCGCAATTTTTAAAACTAAAAAATATTTCCTAGAAATAATGTATATGGCAAAACGACATTTGCCGGGTCAGATAGTCATAATATATTTTTTTGCATACAATGTGTATTTAGTTTAGATTATAATCTTTTCTTTTTTTATTCCTACATTAAATTGTCACCACTTCATGGGTTGACTGGTAGAGAATTTCTTTAGGTATTAAGTTCGCCATATGTAACTTTTTTTGCTAAGGGAATGCAATAATGATTTAAAAAAATATTTTTAGTTATGTTTGTTTCCATTCGAAAAGGCACACACATTTTAATGGAAATCCAATATTTTGTGATATTCGTTGCGAGTAATTAAACGACTAGAAAATATTAATAAATGTTTTCTATATGATAGAGCCACGCTGTAGGTATATTATGGGTGTAGCACGAATAAGTCGGCTCGACTTCGAAAGGACCACGCCAAAGGTCACAGAATATCAGAGTAAAGTAACAGCTTAATGCTGTGGTAAGAAAAATCATAGTATTAGTGTAGAGAACCCGGAAACCTTTTGATTCTTAACCGAGGATGGATTTAGATGTGTATGGGTCACAGTATTCACTAACCATAAGTTGGGCCATGTGATCGTTCGTCACTCTTATTCAACATAAAAAAAAACGCGGTAGTACTACGCTGCAGCATAATAAGGCACGAGTTGACTTGACCAGGGAAGATCCATGGTCGCACGGAATACCAACATAAAATAGCAGCATAATATTGCCATGTTTCTCTTTCTTTTGTTTGTGTTCTTAATTCACTGATTGCTTTATTATAATAAAGCCACTAATTATATCACAGTGGTTGACTGATTAGATAAGTCGACCCCTGGACGTATTAGAGAATATATGATATCAAGTGCTAATTACTAGCTGTGACTTATTTCGTCTCTCCCAGGGCTGACAATGCTTTTAGCGTTTTGATCCTTAATCGAGAATTTATTTAGCTATTTGGGTCACAGCTTTAACTTAGCAGCAGGTGTAGTGTGTTCTCGTTTTTCATTACAGCCTAACAAAACCCACTGCTTGAGCTAGCTATAAGCTTGCCCCGAAAATCGGCTCATGTTATTTTGAGTTGTTATTAGGAAGATTTAATTGGAATTGTGGATACTCTTACACCGCCATTACTTGGAAACTTTACTTCTATAAAATAATATCAGGTGATAAATTTGTAAATGCAAAAATTTAAAACCTTGTCGCATGTCGCACTGAATGGTTAGTCTAAATAAAACAAACGACAAATGTGAATTCATTAATAAATTATTTGATATGATTTATACTTTTTTTAATAATTTTTCAAATGTTCATTTTACTAACAGTTTGGGCACCAGCAAATACATTTAAAACATATAAAGAAAACTATAATATAAAAATATTTATATAATAAAAAATATTTCTACATTATTGAAGCTTCTGAAGTCGGGGCTTGACTTATTGTTTAATTCTTCTGTACACTAAGTTCAAACACCAATTTGAAAAGCTTATACACTAGGTGGATTTTACCGCTTTTAGTTTTTTCAAAGTCACAGTCAAAACTCTTTATTTAATTTAGTTTGTTTTAAGATTTTACTAACGCTACTCAGAGGAACAAAACCGGCAAAGAAAACTACTGGTCTTTTTTAAAGCTGTGTAAAAATTTAATCTATAGAAATAAATAAAATTGAAATGTCTGTTTGTAATAAAAAAATTCTATTAACTATTAAATATTTGTATGCCTGTTTGTACCGGCTTCTCCGAAACAACTAGACCGATTTTGACAGAATTTTCACTGACAGATAGCTGATGTTACAGGGAGTAACTTAAGCTACTTTTATTTTAGAAAAAGAATTGGAGTTCCGCGCAAAAAAATTAAAACCAATGAAATCCAATCGTTATAAATTCCGCGCGAGCAAAGTCGCGGTGGACAGCTACTTTACAATAATCACTATTAATACAATTACAAAGGTCAATGTATATTGACCATGGAACTTGCAAGTGCAAGGTTAGAGTTAGTTATGCACATCGTTGTCACAAATATATTGATCTATTTTATAGTAAGCTTTTTATGTTTTTCAATTTGGCATCTGATTGTTGCTCTATTATATGATTTTTTTTTACAATAAAATGTTATGGATTTATTTAAAAATACTTCCTAGTTTTAGCTAGCAACTTTACAAGACGCAGATTCGCCCTCACATGGATTACTGTTCCCAATTTTGAGGCACTGCGAAGCCCCATAACTGGGGCTTCCTAGTGCCAGCTCTTTCCATTTGATCGCATCCAACGCAGAGCGGTTTGAATCGTCAGCGACGGAGCTCTTTCTGATCGGCTTGACTCACTGGCACTACGAAGAGATTTTGCATCTCTGCGTATTTTATCGCATCTACCACGGGGAACGAGTGCTCTAAGAAATTGTTCGGACTAATTCCAGCCGCTCAATTTCACCATCGCACATCGCGACAAAACTCGCGATACCATCCATACCATCTAGATGATTAGCGGTCAACCACTGTGCGATTTAGAAGAAGTTTTCTTCCTCGTAAAACTTCCTTGTGGAATCGACTACCACCAGAGAATTTTCCGAACCGATATGATTTAGGGACCTTCAAGAAAAGAGCTTACTCTTTTTTAAAAGGCCAGCAACGCATTGTAATATCTCTGGTGTTGCAGTTGTTCATGGGCGGCGGTAGTCACCATCTGGTAAGCCTCATGCTCATTTGCACCGTCTCCTATAAAAAAAAGTTAGACTACATTTAGGAAACTCTAGCGTGTCACTGCGCCCCGTTCTATAAGAAACAGTCTGTTTTTTCAAGTCAATTTTTACTTTTTTTTAAGTCAAATTATTTCACCATTTGGGTCAAATAGTTAGACATAAAAAAAGTAAAAATACAATGTAATAGATCAAGAAATATCACAAGTTCAAGGCAACAACGAGAATGTCGTCTTATTGTTAGTTACATTCAAAAATTCATCCCCTTAGGGGTCTATATTTAGGGGTAGATATTTTTTGTAAAAAAAATTCTATTTAATAAACAAATCATAAAATCGTTTCATACACAACAAAAAGTATATAGTCGAATTCTCATTTTTGGAGAAATCAAAAAAGAAAATCATAGATGCGTTGTCATCCCTGGGGATTGAGATGAAATACTTCACAGCTCGTTATTGGCAACAACTTTTAATTTCCGTCCGTAATGGACCCGGGAGACCACTTACCTAAGCAGTCAACAACTTTAATAATTTTTCAAGTATTCAATGAGATGAAGAAATCGCAACGTCAACAATGAATACTGATATTTCTACGAGAGTTTATTTAAGTAGGTATTTGTATATTAAAAACGTCCCAAGGCTTAAAAAATACACTTCAATTGTTTTGTAAAGGATTTATTAAAATAAATATGAATCTCAAAGTATAATTATAATTATCATCATGAATAACAATAATCAGTGGCTCAAATGTAATTTAAGTAGTTAGAATAAAACCTTGACCTCTATTTTCTACCCTAGGGATGAAATTTTTTTCTTCAAATGGAATCACCCCTGTATACTATTACCTATTTAATAAAACGAAACGTTGAAATCAATCAGTATGTTAGTAACTGACAAAGATGTCAGAAGATATGAAACGAATGAAAACATCCTCCTTTTTTAATCCGGCAAAAAACAGAAAGAACAAAAATACCTCAAGGCGTTCAATAGATGGCGGTGTAAAATCCAATAACTGATTTTGGTTCGAACTTGGGACCTCATAATTTGCAGTCGTGTGTACGAATACTAGACTAACGAGGCAGTCATCAAACCATCTCGTATATGTGAAACATATATATAATATGCAAACCTGTGATGGGGAGCAGCGACAAATATAACTAACTGGTGCTGCGATTGCCAACTCTTTTTTTGCCAACTCGATTTGCCAAAGGTAGTGATTCAAAACACAAATCCAAGCGTGAAATGTACCAGGCGAATAACGAACGGGAATGTAATTATGAAAATATAAGTTTTTTATTTGATAAATATTTGTCGAAAATTGTTGATTTAATATTTCTGTTCTCTTGTTAAATCGGCTTTACTTTCTATACATTTATACATATTACTGAATATATATACAATACAAGCCCGATAGGTTTTCCCTCAAAAATATGTTGTGAAAACATATTTGAAGCGTCTGTATATATTTTTTTCCATTATTAAGGAACATAAAGTTAAGTTAAGTTAACATAAAGTTAATATTTTTCCTAAATATTTTACCTCGTTAAAATATATTAATAATTTTCTTTGTATATTGTAGATATTGCACACCATTATCATGGTAGAATGTCATCATCATCATCATTACAGCCCTTCACAAGTCCACTGCTGAACATAGGCCTCCCCCAAAGAATGCCACAAAGCACGGTCCCGAGCCACCTGCATCCATCGACTTCCTGCATGTCTTACCAGGTCGTCACTCCATCTCGTGGGGGGACGCCCCACACTTCGCCTACCGGTACGAGGCTGCCACTCGAGAACCTTTCTTCCCCATCGGTTGTCGGTTCTTCGAGCTATATGGCCGGCCCACTGCCACTTGAGCTTACTAATCCGTTGGACTATGTCGGTTACTCTGGTTCTACTGCGGATATCCTCATTCCTAAGTTTATCACGCAGAGAAACTCCGAGCATAGCCCTCTCCATAGCTCGCTGAGCGACCTTGAGCTTCCTCATCCGGCCAGCAGTGAAGGACCACGTCTCAGTTCCATAGGTCATCACTGGCCACACGCACTGGTTGTACAGTCTCGTTTTCAAGTTTTGAGGTATACAAACGCTGCCCAACCGAGTTGAATCCGTCGAATGACCTCTCGCTCGAAGGTTAGGACTTACCTAGTCGGACTATTTGTCCCAGGTAAACATACTCGTCAACAACTTCGAGCTTAGTGTTCCCAACAACTACCGGCATAGGTGTGACATGGACATTAAACATGATCTTAGTTTTGTCCATGTTCATCTTAAGACCTATCCGTTGGGAAACACTATTGAGGTCATTGAGCATAGTGCCTAGGTCCTCCAGCGATTCTGCCATAAGGACTATATCGTCGGCAAATCGAAGGTGAGTGATGTACTCGCCAATGATGTTGATACCGTATCCTTTCCAGTCCAGAAGCTTGAAAACGTCTTCCAATGCAGCGGTGAAGAGTTTCGGGGATATGACGTCACCCTGTCTTACACCTCTCTGCAATTGGATAGGTTTCGTACTCTGGTTCTGTACTCGGATAGCCATCGTAGCCCTACTGTACAAGCACTTCAACACTTCGATATACCGACAGTCAACTTGGCACCGCTGAAGGGACTGCAGCACCGCCCAAATTTCGACGGAATCAAAGGCTTTCTCATAGTCCACATACGCCAGACATAGTGGCAAATTGTACTCTTCGGACTACTGTACAATTTGCCGAAGGGTATGTATGTGGTCTATGGTGCTAAAGCCCTTTCGGAAACCGGCTTGTTCGGGAGGCTGGAAGTCGTCAAGTCTGCGCGCGAGACGATTCGTAATGACTCTCGAAAACAGCACGTAGACGCGGCTCAGAAGGGAAATCGGTCTGTAGTTCTTCAAGAGAGCGTTGTCACCTTTCTTGAAGAACAAGACCACCGCACTTCTGCTCCACGCCTCCGATGTAATGCCACCATGGAGGACGGAATTAAAGAGCTTCTGAAGAACTTCAAGTACCGGTTTTCCACCCGCTTTCAGAAGCTCCGCTGTAATTCCATCCTCGCCTGGGGCCTTACCGTTTTTAAGGTGCTGGAGAGCCATTCTAATCTCGCTCAGACTGACGTCCGGGATATCTTTGGAATAGTGTCGGATGAGACTCGCTCTTGGATCGTTACTCACACTTGCGTGTGGCTCCAACGATGACGTGTACAACTGCCCATAGAACCTCTCAATTTCAATCAAAATCTCAGGTGTCCCGTAAACGATGCTGCCACATTCTGTCTTCAGCTTTGACAGTTGGCTCTTTCTGGCAGATAGATCTCTGGCAAAGACTTTGGAGCCTTGGTTCCGCTCGATCGCTTCTTTAATACGAGCTGTATTGAAGTTTCGTAAGTCCCGCCGCATGCATTTGGAGATCTGTCTGTGCAGATGCCTGTATGCTGTCAAGTCTGTTGAAGAATGTAGCTTCATCTCCCGTCTAACAGCCATGAGATTAAGAGTGTGATCGGAGAGTTTTTGTGTTCTTCTGCGGCGGGTCTTGCAGAACTTAGCTCCAACCGCATGGACAGTTTCCACGAGCTTGTCATTCATATCGTCAACTTCATTGTAGTCTTCTAGGCACTGAAAACGGTTTTGTAACTCGAACTGAAAGGTTTCGGGACTTTGGATTAGAGCACGAGGGAGACGGAGCTTTGACTTCATTAGACGAGACCTCTCCAACTTAACGTTTAGGTTCAGTGTGCCTCTAACCATTCGGTGATCGCTACCAGTTTTCACCCTCGCGATCACGGAGACATCACTGAACAGTCGTCGTCTGGTCGTCATAATGAAGTCAATCTCATTTTTTGTCGAACCGTCGGGGCTCGACCAGGTCCACTTCCTGTGGGGCCGCTTCTGGAAGAAAGAGTTCATCATAAAGAGTCCCTCTTTCTCCATGAAGTCGGCCAGCTGCTGGCCCCTTGGGTTCCGTTGCTCTATTCCAAATTTCCCTACTTTCAGCTCACCGTTCTCTCTTGTGCCTAGTTTTGCATTAAAGTCTCCCATTAACACCGTATATTGGGTTTTGGAGGAATGCATGGCTCTAGAGATATCCTTATACATTTCCTCCACCTCCTCATCGGGGTGTGCCGAGGTTGGTGCGTAAACCTGTATGACCTTCAGCGAATACCGTTTGGTGATTCTGAGTATAAGGTACGCAACCCTCGTCGACACACTCCCGATCTTTACAATGTTGTTAACGAGAGACTTGTGGACGATAAATCCGACACCTCCTTGGGAAAGATGGTCGCCCTCCCGGTAGTAGAGCAAGTTGCCGGATTCGAGGATTACCGTGTCCTCCCTCTCTCTTCGGACTTCGGATAATCCTATAATATGCCAGCGCAACTTGTCTATCTCTTCTTCCAGCTCCACGATCTTCTCGTCAGTCCTCAGGGTGCGTGCGTTGTACGTTGCCAGGTCGAGTCGTCTAAGGTGGCAACCGAACCTCCACCGGAGATTCTTAGCACCCCCTGCCCCGCCGTTACCATGGTCGCCACCGTAGCCAGGAATAGCGGGGCCGCCGGGGACTGGGGGCCGTTTCTTTGTTACTGTCATTCATAGGGGGGTATTTGCCATAGTTGCTACGCTTGGCGAGCGGGTTGGCAACCGCAGTTTTTTTTATTGTTAGTTTGTTGTTATCAAGAAGATGCTGCTGCCCATCTCCTGCCTGTTTCCCTTTGTCGCCTTTTACGACACCCACGGGAGGATATGGGGTAGTGGATATTCTTGACCGCCACTACACGGCAAGGTAGAATGTAAGGTCTCGTTAATAAATTACAACATCATAATATTATGTACTACATTCTGGCAATAAATGAATTTGAATTTGAATTTGAAAGGCTTGCAAGTGGCGGAATTGAAGTTTTGTGACATTCTCTACTAGAAAATAATGAAAGAGGAAGGAAAGTTTCGACAATGTTTAATACAAATTTGAATAAGGATAGGATGAGATTAGATGGTAATATTAATAATGTCCTCTAAACTGAATTTCGGTCACGGCGCTTAGTTTCGACGGAGACTAGCTATTTGGTACACAAGTATGTATGTAAGCACAGGTGGATTCATTAGTTCCCTCTTATAATCTGATGGGACGGCAATTCGTAACTACTGGGGAGAGATCAGGCACAGGACCAAAGAAGAAAGGGCTTTACGTGCTTTCTGAGGCACGGGAGTGAAACACTGCTAATTTTGTGATTTTAAGGCCGCTACTGAGAATTTATTAAAAGACAAAACCCAATAACTGACTTTGTCTCGGATCTGGATTCGAAACATTCGGCCCGAAAACTTCGACTGACTGATAATCGTCGTGATAATTCCCCTTTACAACAACCTCAAAAATCTCTTTAGTAATATTTATTTATTTTATTCTTTATTTCAACAAAGATTTGTAGTAGTATGCAGGTCATCATGAAATGATTGATGATATAGTATAAAGATGACTATATCGTGTAACATGGTCATTCACGTAACGCATGTTTTTTTTTATATAGAATAAGGATGACAAACGAGCATACAGACCACCTGATGTTAAATGGTTGCTGTGGCCCATAGACATCTACATCTATATTCGTTTGCGAATTAAAATGCAGATGCGTTGTCAGCCGTGAGGACTAAGATAGAATGCCTCCTTTCCAGTAAAAAGGGTCTCAGGTTCTCTACACTCACCGTACGAAACACAGCAGCATTAAGCTGGTTTTTTACGCTGGTATTCTGAGAGAGAGTGGTCGTTCCCTGGTCGAGCTAACCCATTCGTGCTACAACTATACTATTAATATAGCTGCAGCATGGCTCTACCACGTATGTATACATACGTACGTAATGTTATGCAGTTTAAAGTGAACTAGTAGTAGGACCTTCTCCCATTTCTAATAGAGTTTTAGAAAATCATTGATGATTCCGTCGCAATGCCCTCAAGCGTTTTGACGCACTTCGCATGTCTTCTAAATATTTTATATCTTCTTACACATGAAGGTGCTCTCACGGCGTATACCTCTATCAAAGGGCACGTTATAAATTGATATTAAAATTGTAAAGAACAATTACATTGGAGCTGGTGGGATTCGGACTTGATTTGTCCGTATACTGAAATATTACTATGACCTATACAATAATTTATATTAAATTATATAAATAAGAACCTGCTTGACATTATATTATACATTGTTTCACGTATTTTTTGTTTGTTTAGGAAACTGCAAAAGTTCAAGCAACGTACTTGCATATCTACTTCAGGTTATCCCGAATGCCAGGAATATCTTGTCTCTAACGGTACAAATGATACGGATGTTTATTATTTTAATAATACCTTGGATGGCAGCCTCAATGGAGATGGAGTATTGGTAAGTAGGAAATAACTTTTTTAAGACGTAATATTAAAAACAAATTCGATATCGCCATATCTTAAACAAAACATGTAGCACAAAAGAGAAATTATTACAGATCTTAAACTTAAACGTCGATTTAGAAATAAGACAACAGAAAATTATTGTAGTCTCTGAAAGTCGGTGGAATAACCATAACGAAAATATCAAAACTTGTGGCAGCTACTAGGTTATAAATTTCTGATCTGTGATTGCTAATTCACTAAGCGTGGCTATTAACAGAAATCGTAACTTCGGCCTATGTGCAGAAGTGAACTATTTACGTGTATGTTCCTTGTTAATTACTAAAGGGTGACAAACATACACATATTCCGTCGTAGATATCTATATCCAACATGCAACGTATAACATCCAACCTCCAGTATGGCATCGCATTTGTATTTTGATTTTTAATCGATAGTTGATGGTTGATGGATCGGGCCCCAAAATCCACATACCTTCAAATAGACTGTGTGCTCATTTGTCGCTCAATAAAAAAGAGTAAACTAAGTAAACTAGGCAAAACAAATTAAAAAAAAAAGTATTTAGGTACTAAAATTATATTAAATCTCCGATTTTCGTATTTGCCAATCAATGTTCTTATTTTATTCTTTGTAAGGCGTGTTGATGGATATTCTGTATCTGGTTGAAATAAAAGTAAAATTATGTTTTACGGATTTTATCGCGTATATTAAATTTTCACTGGTCACGAGGGGACAGAGATGTTCGAGGTCTCAATGTGATAATTAACCACGGCTGCCTTTAGATTAAAATTATAAATTTTTGGTACCATCTACGCAGTATGAACTTGTAGTGTTTTTAAATATTACAGTTGTAAGCTTTATTGCGTTTTGTTTATTTAATTTTATTAATAATAGGATTCCAAGCAGATGATATCACCCAGCCATCTTCTCTATTGAAATTAGGATTTTTTTTTAGTTTAAAGGCCTCGTAAATCATCCATGGAAGGAATTGGTGTTCTTTAGCAAGGGTTTGTGGTCTATCAAATCAGGTGTAGTAGTTTACAGACTCCATACTTCCCGGAGCGTCGATTCTTCAGATCAGCTATATATTCTTTGACGCGGGTTTTTATTGCTTTTTTAGTTTGTCCTATGTAAGGGAGACCATATTCAAAATCAATCTTGTACGCTCCTGCATCTTGCAGAGGGATATTTGTGGTATACTGAGAATTAAAACGAGTGAGGGAGAATTCTGTGATAAATAAAAAATCTCATAAAACACAGTTTTTCAGAAAGAAATCTAATTTTAAATCAAATGTTTACCACTTATTAAACCAAATTTAAAGCCGAACGCCCTCCGTAAACTAAACTAAATTTGTTGATCCTTTGTTCCTTTGCTCGCATAGCTGAGAAAGTTTTTTATACATCTGCGTCCACAGCAATTAAAGCTAAGCTATGTATGTATTGGATGCCATCCAAGATACAGTTTACCGTCAAGTTAACATCGCGCTTGAAGTGGCGTCCAGTATACTTGACGGTATATGGCTATCAGTGTGCATGACAAGTCTACTTGAAGCAAAAATTTAATTTCGATTCTACCGACTTCATCAAGCTTGCAGCGTCATGCAAACTTGAACGTGTGTAAGAGCGGTCAAGTATGCATGACGGTAGCCGGTTCAAATAAGCGAGAGACGCCATGGTTTCAACTGATGCGGCATCATGCAAACTTGACGGCGACCTTGAACGTGAGTTGTCTATATGGATGCACTGCAAACTTGACGCCACTTCAAGCGCGCTACAAACTTGGCGGTAAACTGGATCGTGTATGGCATCCATATGAAAAACTGGCTCAGCTATGCGCGCTAAGATAAACTAAGTTAATTTAGTTTGCGGTGGACGTTCGGTTTAATAATCTTAGTTAAACTTTAAAGGAAGCCGTAACATACAATAAAAAAAACCGGCAAAGTGCGAGTCGGACTCGCGCACCGAGGGTTCCGAACAAATGTGTAGGTATATAAGTTTAAAATTATTAAAAATATTTTTATTTTATGATGTAATTAAAAGTTTATGCTTTTCGCAATTTTTCCTTTATCTGTGCTATAAAACGTTGCTTCGTACCAAATTTCAAGATTCTGAGTTCACGGGAAGTACACTGTAGGTTTTGATTCCCTTGCGAATGTCGAAAATTTACAGCATAAACGGCTGTATATTGATTTTTTCACAGCTTTAAGGGACAGAAGACTTGAGTATTTGATATGAATTTCAGCTTGATACCTCCACGCGTTCCTGAGAAAAAGGGTCTTGACAGACCGAAAGACAGATAGACGGACAACAAAGTGATCCTATAAGGGTTCCGTTTTTCCTTTTGAGGTACGGAACCCTAAAAAAGAGGCCAAAGGAATCCATCAATCTTCTTTGCTTCTTCCCTGTTTATTTGAAAGTGAATATTCATTGATAACAATTTAAAGCGGCAATAAAAGGACTACGTACCAAGCGCAAGCTGCATTGAGTCCATTGACCGCTAACCCTGAACAATTTCACGTAGATGTTTAAAATAATTTGATTTACTTTTTGAAAATTTGTGAAGAAGAAAATTCATCAGTTTTTTTTAAAAATAAAACTAGCTTTTGTCTGCGGCTTCGCTGAAGTTAAATTTCAGAATATAAGTAACACATTTATAATATTCAGCAGGAATTTATTTGACAAACATGATTGCAGTTCATTTTTTTTTACAAAAAGTGTGAAATACAACATAGTTCACATGATAGTAAGTAGGTAATACATAAACACCGACATCATATAATTAAAATCCAGATTTTAGGGTTGGCAACTTATGCCTTTTTACCAGTAAAAAGTGTCTCCGGTTCTCCATTCTCCTAACACTAACGCATGCTAATGCGTAATAGTATGTTGCTATTTTACGTTGTTAGACTGTGAGAGCATGGCATTACAAGACTACAGTCATGCTGCATCTATATTATAGTTATAACACGAATGCGTCTGTTTGACCGAGAAAGAATCACGCTCTCGAAAAATACTAACGTGAAACAGCAGCTTAATGCTGCTGTGTTCCATATGGTGAGTGTAGAGAACCGGAGATACTTTTTAACGGAAACAAGGCATTCCATCTCAATCACAACGCATCTTCATTTTGATTATTAGTCGAGGATAGATCTATATCTATTGGCTACAGCATCCACTTAACATCAGGTGGACTGTGACACAAATGGAAAATATAATTAAATCGAAAATTAAGTTTAATATTTAAAAAGGTTTTTCAAAATTTTTTATTTGATGAGAATGAGGATAACATAAATAAATGATAATAAAAATTTATAAGCATGCAGCTTCTTCTTCACCAGCCCTAAAAGTCCACTGCTGTAAATGGATTTGATATTTATTTATAGCATCAGGATGACAAACGAGTACACAGTCCACCTGATGGTAAGTGGATGCCATGGCCCATAGACAAATGTGAATGAAAAATGCAGATGCGTTGTCACACTTTAGGACTAAGATGGAATGCCTTGTATCCAGTAAAAAGGGTCTCCAATTCTCTACACTCACCATACGAAGCATGGCAGCATTAAGCTGCTATTTTACGCTGGTATTTTGTGAAGGCGTGGTCCTACCCCGGTTGAACTCTGCCACGTAAATTGTCTATTCGTTACCACGGCATTCAAATAAGTTGTTTTACAAATATAATTTTCATAGCTAGACCCAGTTCTCTGTCATCTGTCTCGGCATATTACCTCTGGCGTAAACGCGATGGTTTGTTACAATATATTTCATAAAAACTACAATATCTTCGTCGCAATTCCCATAGTTGTCTCTTAGTTACCCACAGGAGGGAATGAGGTGAAGGATTCTTTGGAAGCAGCCACTACAAAACAGCTTAATAATAAATATTAATTTATTTTTGCAACCCGTGTATTGGCGATGTAATAGGACCCACGATCCCACATCATCCTGTTGTTAAAGACGTCAGAGAAAAACTGATAATTGAGAAGGGAAGCAGCATGTTCCTGATAAAAGCTTAAAATAATACAAAAAAGCGGTTGCCAACCCGCATGTCGAACGTTACAACTATGACGAATATCCCCTACATACCCCATAAATTGCCCAGATCAGGCAGTTTACTTGGATAGCCTATATTTACCAGTACACTTTTAATAGGCTGTAATGAAATAAAATACACTCCATTTACCGATACAGACTACTAAATTCCAATGCTGAACATAGGCCTGCCCTGTAGATTTTAATTGGTATTAGTAAGAAACGCTGATAAACTCTGCTGCCTATCTCCTGAATTATTTCCCTCTGTCGCCACTTACCACGGGATGATATGGAGTAGTGAATATTAAAAATACACCCGAATATAACCTGTTACAATATACCCGAAATTCATTAAACACTTTCTGAGGCAGTCAGGTAAAAACTGTTGCTGTTAAGTCCGAAAACATCTATCATATAATATATCGGTGCGGTTCAAAGTGATATTACATTGCTCAAGCGTCGTACAATTTTAACACCTCATGGAATATTGTTCAGCGAGTACGACAGTTAATCGATTCGAGGCCATTATCACATGTTTATGCGACGGCCGCTGTGAGAAAGGAATGTCACAGCTTGAACGTCGTTATTATTAGCGAAACAATACCTGGGATAGGTTTTATTTAAATAGAACACTACCTGTGACCGTCATAATAGTGAAAAGAGTTAACAATAACATTTTAACGTGGTATAGCCACGCTGCAGCTATATTATGGTTGTAGCACGTATGAGTCGGCTTGACTGTGGTAGGACCACGCTGTGACAGAACACTAGCGTAAAATAGCAGCTTAATGCTGCTGTGTTTTGAGGGTGAGTGTAGAGAACCGGAGACTCTTTTTACCGGAAAAGAGGTATTCCATCTTTGTCCTCAGGGGCGAAAACGCATCTGCATTTTGATTCTTAATTTCGAATAAAAGTTGATGTCTATGGGCCACAGCTTTCACTTACCACCAGGTGGACTGTGTGCTGGTTTGTCAAACTTGTTCTTAAAAAAACTAAACTACTTCGTGCACTTCTGATTGACTCGTAGTATAGTAACGTATAGTCATTTTGTTTAAGCTCTGTTTAGTATTTTAATATTGTGTGATTATTTTTCAAATCATCTTCATCATCATTATAACCCATCACAAGTTCACCGCTGAACATAGGCCTCCCCTAAGAAATTCCACAAAACACAGTCCTGAGCCACCTGCATTCATCGACTTCCCTCATCCTTTACCAGCTCGATACACCATCTAGTGGGGGCTGTATTTCAAATAAACAAAATTAAATTACATAATTTCCTTTTATGTAAATTTAATTTTTATGTTATATAAAATAAGTGACAAATATATTACTAACTCAACATTTCAATTAATAATATAATATTATTTTGAAAAATAATCATGTTAAATTACGTTTATTCTACTTTTTATATTTTTTCATATTTTATCAAATCTATGACATAAATTAAACATTACTTTATTATTGTGAATAATTTTTCTTTTATACCAGAGTGTCATATTTAGATATTCATTATTTTGTTTAAATGGAGATACATATTAAATGAAACTAATTTTTACGGATTATATCGCGTTTAATTTTAACTTTCTTTAATTCCCAACGTTTCGGGTGCTTTACAGCACTCATGGTCACGGGGGGACTGCCCCCGTGACCATGAGTACTGTAAAGCACCCGAACCCGTAAAAATTAGTTTAATTTAATGTGTAGTCTTCGTGTAAATATAAGAAAACATTATGGAGATACATATTTTATTTTATGTATTTTAGGAACCGGTGTTACCACCGTTTCCGTTATGGATGGCAGCGATCTTCGCAACTTGTTTGGTGCTAGTTATTCTTTTAACTGTCAGTGGAAACGTTCTGGTTTTGCTGGCTTTCCTAGTAGACAGAACGATACGCCAACCTAGCAATTACTTCATTGCATCCCTTGCTGCTACGGACTTGTTGATTGGTATGTAAATAATATTAAATAAAAAGAAAAAACACAAAATAAAAATAATTAATAAATTATTTATATTTTGATTATAGTCTATTGCTGGCCTTTTCCACTTATTTCTATGTTAAGTATTAAACCTAGTAATCCCGATTATAAGGAATATTGGGCTTTGAACCATAGTACGAGGGTCTCAGCTTTACGCCGTCCAATCTTTCCCGCCTAGCGTGATAAGTATAAACAAATCTTTTAACTTATGCTTAAACTGAAACTATTTACTTTTTTCTTACCAAACGGTGCATTCTTGAAGAGGCCTTTTCAGCAATGGATGAAGAAAAGTTAAGGATACTAACGTTGAATAGTGATTTTTGGATCAATTATAAAACAGAATATTTTTTTAATTACAGGTACCTTATCACTTCCATTCTACACTGATTATGTCCTTAAAGGATATTGGCATTTAGGACCATTATTGTGTGATTTGTGGCTATCGGTAGACTACACAGTATGCCTCGTATCACAGTACACTGTGCTACTTATAACAGTAGACAGATTTTGTAGCGTTAAAATAGCAGCGAGATATAGAGCGTGGCGAACAAAAAATCGAGTTATATGGATGGTAACCGTGACTTGGATTATCCCAGCTTTACTATTTTTTACGACCATATTCGGATGGGAGCATTTTGTAGGGTATAGAGATTTACAAGAAGGTGAATGTGCTGTTCAGTTTTTAAAGGATCCTATATTTAATACAGCTCTAATTATAGGCTATTATTGGACGACACTTTTCGTGCTCATTGTATTATATGCAGGTATTTTTAAGACTGCATACGACATGCAAAAGAAAAGCGAAGCGAAACAAAGGAAAATGCAGTCTATGGTTGCATTAAGTGCAGGAGTAATGTCTGGTATGGCAGGACGTGCAGCTGGCATGGCTGGTTTACCTAAGCCCGCTATTTCAAGTGAAGATCAGGTTAAGGTATCCGTCTCCGAACACAAAGATTCTACTTCAAAAGGATCTTTAGCTGCACCCTTACTCAACTTAGGTGGATCGTCAGACTCAAATTCCAGTCAAAAATCATCAGCTCATAAAAGCAGTGCAACTGTCACAGGTACATCTACAACTGCTGAATCAGATGGAGAAAAGAAAGAAGAACAGTTGGAAGCAGAACGGTCAAGTAGTCCAGCTTTCGATTCTGATGACGAAAGTACTACTCAATCTAACGTTAAAAAGAGGCCCTCTGTTGCAAATTTGGTGATGCAAACGGGTGCTATGCAATTACTTAGTAACATGCGCCTAAACGGTGGAATGCTTATAAAAACTGATTTAAAACAGTCGCCCGGAATTGGGAATGATTTTCAGAAACCGAAATCATCGCTATCTCAAATTTCGGAAAAAAGTCTTTTAGATACGGACAACCCAAACGCATTACAGCATAATAGGCAAATAGCACCGATAAACATATCTCCTGCTAGTGTCACTTCCCCCAACTCATCAGGACATGCCACACCATCAGAAAGAGAGGTATCAAATACAATTGCTCAAAGAATCATTCCCCCTCCATCAGAGTTCAGATGCAGTCCACCAGTATCTGAAAGTCCACCATCTCATTCTGAATCATCTCGAACTAAAATCATTAAATTAGTTAAAGGCGATGGTAGTTGTTATGATGTGCTCATTGGAATGGATGGTGCTGATTTGAGATATATGGATGAAAGCTCAGTTAATGTTCCTTCACCTACAAATGAAAGTCCACCTTCGTCAATCACCTTTCCAACCACTACCGAACCATCATCTCCTCCAAATCTTAATTCAGGTAATGTAACAAATACTTCGTTATTGCAGGCTGCTCTTATACGAGCAACAGCTGAAGCTCAAGTGTCACAACCCAAAACAAATTTTTCTCCTCCGCCACCCGTAAAAGTAAACACAGAGGTAAGTTTAACTACAGGAGAGAGACCCAAACCCGTGATTACCCTAGTGTCATCGTCTTCCAATAATAATGAACCTCCACGACCAAAAGAACTTGACAATAAGGTTATGTCCGTGAGATTAAATGCTGGAATAATCCCGGCGGTTGAAAATAGTGAGATTTCAAGTTCTGCTGTTAGTGGTTCAGGCCGTGGTGATTCCAAGAAAGAATTTGTAAAAAACATAGGAAAGAAATTAAAAGTTAAACGTTCTAAACGCGACGGACTATTTTCGAGCATTGGTCGTCAAAAATCTAAATCTGAAAACAGGGCACGAAAAGCCTTTAGAACCATATCTTTTATTTTAGGAGCATTTGTTGTTTGCTGGACTCCATATCATATTTTAGCTTTAGTAGAGGGATTTTGTACGGATCCTCCTTGTATTAACAAGCATATTTACATGTTCTCTTATTTTTTATGCTATGCTAATAGCCCTATTAATCCTTTTTGCTATGCATTAGCCAACCAACAGTTCAAAAAAACCTTTACAAGACTTCTGCGTGGCGATTTTCATATTACCTAGTCCATGTATGTCGGTTACAAAAATGCGTAATTTTTGTACACTGTCATACAGTGAATTACGAGTATTACTCGCACAAGAATCTCTATGCAGATGTTCTAATGGTAAGACAATACTTAAAAATAAAATGCTTTGAATGTATACATAGATTTAATCTAACTCGATGAATGTGTTGATAATATTCGTATATATGAAAACCATTTCAAGCTTTATTAACTCAAGAAAAATAATATAGTATATGAGAACACAATTTGTAAGTAATTAATAATAGACATTATGTTGTATAATTGTAAGAATTTTATTCCATCTTTAAAGTTCAGACTTGACAATAAAAAGATAAAATTGTAAATAAAATTAGGGCTAGTTAAAAAAGGTCTCTTTATATTTCTAGTCAAACATTTATTAATTTCTTTTAATGCTTAGTGGTTATAAGATATAATAAGGAAATCATTTGTACCAGATTAAATTAATTGTACTTTTAAATATAATGCCTATTGTGCGACATAGTTTTTTACTATCTCCATAAACAATAAAACATAAAAAAATCTTCCCTTCTTAGTTAAGATGTGTTAGTTAGATTACTATTTCTTAATACAGAAGTTCTGTAACATAATTTTATAATTATATTTATAATTAATGTTAATAAAACTGGCGGTGCAAATAAAAATTCAATTATTTTATTTTGGTTTCTAATGTATTGCCGGTATGCATACCCGTTTAAGCTACAGATTCGATGGTTAAGTTTTTAAATTCATATTTTAATTGATGGAAAAGTACATACTATACAATCTTCTTGTATTGTTTACTAAATTACGCTTAAAAGCTTTCAGCTATGAGCCCAGCTAAAGGTTTTTAGCGTTAAGTAAAAAAAGTCAATTAATTGTTAGTTGTGTCTTCTTAACGCTGCTGGTTTGTCTATGTAGACAATTTGCCAATAAGACGTTAAGTCAATTAAGTGGTTGAACGATAAATTTTTCTATTTCTATTATGCAAATTATAGGTTACTCCCTATCTACTAAATATATAGATAAATTCTAACATAGATTAATAATTTTAGAATGGCATAGTTTAATTTTTCGTTAAAATTCCGAAGTTTTAAATTTAAAAAAAATTTGGATCGATAGCTATTCTCGTTTTTCATTAAACAGGCCTAAACTAATCATTAATATGTTGCGAATTTCGTATTAAAATTCTATCTTAACAGGAAATATACTTCATCACTGTGTATGCTAATGTAATTTTTTGGTGTTTATGCCAGTGTGTATACCAGTGTGCATGCCAGTGTGTGCGTCAGTGTGTATGTCAATGTATTTTTTTGAAATACTTTAGTTTTTTAAATTACTTCTTTACTCTTTTGGAATGTATCCAGAACTTCAAAAGTTAAATTTTTAATAGATGTCTTTCATAAAACAATGTGATGTGAACAATGTAAAATTCACGCATTTTTCTAATAAAGCTACCCTATAATGTTTATTTAGATTTCAAGTTATGTAAAAGCAGTATTATATTTATCTAATACTAAAATAAGTAGTTACAATAAATGAAAGACAAAAGTGAAATATATTTAGATGTAGTTATGGATCAATATTGAGAAGTAGTCATTATAGGAAAATAGCAAGTACAAAATGACGATGTATTAAAAATAGATGAATCTGTAACACACGCTTAACCTTTTACATTGTTGTTAGTGTGAATGACGGGAAATAAGGCATAGCTTTTACTGCTTATTACTCGTGTTTACAGTCGAACATTAACCGTAATGTTGAAGTTCATATTTAGATTAGTAACTACAGGAATTTTTCATAAACGTTTATTAAATTAGCCGCTTTCATTTATATTCAAATACCTTCTTATTTAATTTTTACTCTTTTTCACAAAATAAATATGTTTCTAAAATGACTCATTCGAAAATTTAATGTATATGCATATAAATAAAGTTTGGTTTGACTTGAATATTGATTATTAAAAACATATTGGATTTATGTAAGTTTCAGTTAAATTTTCTTTATAGCAAAGTTATAGCCCCAACACAACTTTTACACTAACAGATTGAAAAAATCCAAGCTGTATCATTTAAGTAGTGGTCATGATTATCTGGTTAGTATGAACTATGTTTACGTGAATGATGATGAAGAAGAAGCCGAAGATTGCCTTTTCTTGTTTTTTAGTTCTTTTTCACGGGAAAAGAAAAACCTCTCTCACGACTTTATATCCAAATGGTGTCGCAAGGAATCATGTAAATTAACTCATCCGAAATCACTTTTCACTTGATATTGAAATTTTATAATCTTTAATATTAATCGAACTTAGCCTTCCTGAACAGCTTGCCTCATGGTGGTGATTTTTTCATTGTTATTACTCTTAGCAGACGGTTTAGCAACCGCAGATTTTTTATTGTATTGTATCACGAAGATGTTGCAGTCCATCTTCTATTTCAGTTTCCCGCTGTCATCTCTTAGGACACACACGGGATGATTACATTATATTAGAATCTCCTACGCCACCGCTATAACACCATTAAATTATAATTAATTGCATTTTATTTAAACAGAGCATTAACATTAAACACGAGAATATAATATTTATATATATTTAGGGTTCCGTACCTCAAAAAGAAAAAACGGTACCCTTATAGGATCACTTTTTTGTCCGTCTGTCTGTCTGTCAAGACCCTCAAGCTGAAATTCATATCAAATACTCAATTCTACTGTCCCTTGGAGCTGTGAAAAAAACAAACTTTTTCAAGACATTCGCAAGGGAATCAAAACCTACAGGGTACTTCCCGTGAACTCAGAATTTTAAAATTTGGTGCGAAGAAACGTATTATATCGAAACGTATATTATCGCACAGATAAAGGAAAAATTGCGGAAAGCATAAATTTTTAGTTACATCATATAATAAAAATATTTTTAATAATTTTAAACAAATATACCTACGGATTTGTTCGGAACCCTCGGTACGCGAGTCTGACTCGCACTTGGCCGGTTTTTTTATATAGGCCTTAAATCCTTAAATTAAAATGTGACACCTATAGTCCTTATATCTACTATAAAAACAGTTAATATAAATTCTTACCTCACCAAATACTCGTACTTCTTCGCGTTCTTAAGTTATATTATTCACAATGTGATATTAAGTTTGTTAACATCATCCCTTGTATCATCATCATCATTACAGCCCTTCACAAGTCCACTGCGGAACATAGGCCTCGCCTAAGGAATTCCACAAAGCCCGTACCATCTGCATCCATCGACTTCCTGCATGTCTTACCAGTTCGTCACTCCATCTAGTGGGTGGACGCCCTACACTTCGTCCGCCGGTACGAGGCCGCCACTCGAGAACTTTTTCCCCGTCGGTTGTCAGTTCTTCGAGCTATCCCGCATCATTCCTTGTATAGAATGAAATAATTGTATTTGATTTTTCCGTATTATTTTATGAAAATAAGTTTAATGTAAAATTGTAAATAGGCTTGTCAAGTGTAGAATTACGGTATTGCTTTGTAACGGCAGTATTAATATGTCATAAGTTTCGTAAAACAATTAGCAATGTTAATTTGTAATAGAAAATCGTCAATCGGAATGTTCTTAAATATCTGGTATATTATTATGATGTGGTATAACCTTTATGTAATGTTTTAAAATGTTTAAAATGTATGTATTCTGAGAGAAAATGAATTTTAAACCAATAAATGAAAATAGAATATTAAAACTTGCTTTTTTCTTATTCCATTATGTTTATAAATTTGTATATTTTTTAATAATTATTTCATTATTATCATTGTGTAACTTAACTCAAAGTGTGGATGTTAAGTATTTATACGTCTTCTATAATATAGTAAACGTCTTGTACACAAATTAGACAAGAGTTTTAAGAACGGAGCAATTAGTCCCAGGCGCTGTTTCATTACGTGTTCGCGGACTACGAGTACACATGCCCTCGGAATGATTTTATTACTCGGACTTTTAGGTTTCTTCACAATTTTTTTCTTTATTATCGAGCAATTGTTATAATGTTATGATACATTTGTTTGTTGCTCATCAGTAATACAATTACAATAATAATAAAAAATTGCATATTGTCCTATATCCTATATCATCTACCATTTATTGGCATACAAATATTTACATGGAAATGAATTGTCCAAATAATTGGAAAATCAAACTATACTTTGGCTATATCGCCTGTTACTGTCAGATGTTATAGTAGTCAAGCACTGAAAGAAACACAAGATTAGCACGGATATGAATGAATAGCTATCCCTATAAGCTACAACGTTTAAAATGTGATAGAGCTTGTAATATACTCGCTAGTAAGTCTGCCTGAAATGCATCGTAATTACAGCCTCCTTCTACAAAGTGACTCTTGACCCTTGTCACGTAGTGTAGGCCCGAAGGCTCCACATAGTAAATAAATACATAAATTGGAGTGTAAGGAAGTTACTAGATAGAAATATTAATTATTAATTTAATAATAAGACCGCTATAATTAATAAAGCATAAGACACAGTGGGAGAACTAAACAGGGGAGGGTCCGTAGCTGTCTGTGTCAGCTTATCCGTATTGCAGATGGCTAGGAGATTAGAATCGAAGCTCCCAGAAGCGTTATGAGAGTCAGAACTTAACAACAGCAACCGTACCTTGAAGTTGTTAAAATCTTTTTAATGACAACTAAAATTAAAATTATAAGAGAGAAGAAAAAGTAAAGAAAAGTTCTTTCATAGAAGTATAAAATCGGAAAATGTAATCGCGCTGTTGTCATTATTAGCAATCATGGCCTCCGGATTTATATATTTATAATTTCATACCATATTTGTGACATCATAAATTATTTTCCATCTGTTAAAAATTTCATAATCAGGCCACAAAACATAAGATAGACATTCAAATAAAAACCAAAGGTTATATTATATAAACGAGCAATTTAATTATATATAAGGAAATTAAGAGTAATAAATATACAAACAGACACTCTTGTCTTCTTATTATGGTAATAAAAAAGTTAT